AAAGCCGCCCGTTTTTCATTTTGCATCTGTCACGAACGCTTTTTAGTTTTTTAGATATAAAAAACGGAAAAGCGTTTTTTAAAAGGTTTATTGGTCTCAATAAACCTTTTTTGATAGTTTATTAATCCACGACTATTTTTTACAGTGTAGTAAAACTAACTGTATTTCATCTTAAATTAAATAACACTAAAAACAAATCCAATTGAGAAAAGCATGCTGCGCAATCTGAATATAGGGAAGATTATAGAAGATGTATACTCACTGTCCAAAATATTTTAGATTGACAGTAAATCATGGCAGATAACGGTAAAAAATAACCAAATATAAAGAGTGCCGTATTATAACTAATAACGTTTAATGTTCGATCTTGCCATTTAACTGAACAGGACGTTAAAACACCTTCCAACATATAATAAGACCAACCGATCATAGGCATTAATGACCAAAACAAACCACCGAAAACACATAACAAGATAGAAATAAACGGTTTACTCATTGCGACTCTATACGATGTTAACGGTTTAACAATCATGCGGTATCTAAACAGAAAAAGATTAGTTAAAAATACTAAGAGTACGTTCGCAAAAGAATCGAGCACATTTGAAAGAGTCGATAACATTGATGAAAAATAAGATACATAATTATGAATTTTGGATCCTAAACCTGATGGATTTGCTGTAGAAAACATCAGAGAGGCCTACGAAAACTATCGATCGAAAAAAACTGGAAAATAACAAAAAGTTTGTTAAACTTTTTGTTGTTTTCCAGTTTTTTTCGATACTCATATGAAATAACTTCACCATTTCTCTTTTCAAATTGACGTAAACTCCACACTTACAGAATGTATGAGATTTGGGTGGTATCCGTTGTTTTGGAAATCTGGCACCTTTTACTAGTGATCTTTGAGAGTATGAAAAATATGTGCAGACGTAGGTTATCGTCTTCCTGATCATAGGACTAATACGTGTTCCACTGTCACATGTTACTTATCGTGAATACAAAGATCGATTAAAGGACACTCCCCAAGCAAAACTCCAAAGCATATTAGCTAGCATTAAATGTCTAAAATTAACAACTATATAATATTTAAGTGAATACTTCTTTGACTACCGAATGTAGAAAATAAAAATTTAGCTTTCGTTGTTTGTCTGCACTTTCGACTAAACAATGATATCGGCAGACCTAGTATTGTCTAAAACCCCTATGATTCGAAATTTATGTTGCTGTTGTATTTTTTCTAGGCACTAGAACGATTTTTTGTTCACTTTGTTAGAAAAATGCTTATTTGTATCTAGAATTATTCTGGCTTGATATGTCTGGTGCTGCTGATTCTGAGCCATATTTCGTTCAAAATATTTTTTTAATAAAGCAGACCAGAGATGCAACCGGCACCGGCAACCGGCCGGTTCGGTCAGAAATTTCTGATCGGTCGGTCGAAGGAAAATTAATCTGACCGGCACCCAGGTCGTTGATTTCGGTGTCAGGATCTTGACAGGACCTGCTGGATCCAACATCGGAACATGTTGTCGGAATTTGGTAAAATCCGGCAGCAACTGTGCCGGAAGATGTCGGAAAAGATCCGACATCTTCGACCGATGAATCTGATTTTGGTGGATGTGGCAGAATGTGATCAATTTTGAGGTTAAAAATAGTCTTCAATTGTTTCTTTCATTTTCTAGTGGTTCTTCTCTCTGTTTATTCGAGAGAGTGGAAGGCCCCACTAGCTAGGACGTGTACAACACGTCCGTTGAACAGTGTGAGCGATGACTCACACCGTTAAGAATTGGAGAAGAACAACTTTTCATTTTTCACTTTCTGTAGTGTCGTATTTAAAGTGCTCCTGTCGCGAAACAAAACGGTGAATATATTATGCGCACAGAAAAGCTCCCAGGTCAAATTCGCCCGGTCGGATCCGCCTAGGTCCGTTGCAATCCGACAAAATCCTGGCTCCCGGATTCCGGACCGAAAATTTGCCTGTTTCCGGTCGTCGGACCCTATTAGTTTCGGCTGCATCCGGAAGCCGGATTTCGGGCGCCAGGATTCCGACTCCATCGGCCAGAATCCGGTTGGATCGAGTTGAAATCTGACTAATTCCGGCATAATCCGGCGCTGGATTCGATCGAATCCGACAAGATCCGATGATCGGAAGCTTCGACCTGGGAGAAAGAAAAAAAACAAAGTGCACATCACAGGATTCGTCAATTCCCTCTCACCGGAAATTAACGGATTTGATCTCCGGATCTTTCAGAAACCAAATATCGGAACGCGAAAGAATTGAGCAGATTCTTATCTCCAGATCCGGTTGGGTGTCCGATCTCCGGAAATCATCGGAATTAAAAGGATCCGATCGGGCGAATTCGTCCTGGGCAGGTAGAGAAAAAAACTTTTTTCCTCTGAAAAATCAGTACATTGCCGGAAACGAATGAGCTGAGCTAAGTAAAACAAACGTTTTCATATTTCAGATTGAGAAAGTTAGTCTGGTTTTCTCTTTTTTGTCAACAGTTTTCGAGAGCAGGACTGATGATCTCTTCTATGTGAATATTCCGTTCGTTTTTCTTTCTGTTTTGATGTTTGTTGCACTATTATCGATGCCAAAATAGAAGGCCGGTATATTTTTGAATAACTCAAAAGGAATAAAAGATAGAGACTTGCGATTTTCGTCTTGCGCTAGCCAAGACCTGAACCTATGGTTTCATAAGCAAAAACAAATTTACAAAAATTTCAAAGATCCGATTTTCAGGAGATCTATGAAAAACAAGTTCGCTTCTCAGAAAACAGACATAGAAATCTATGGATTTTTTTCATAAATATATGATCTGAAATGTCCTCGACAAAACTGGATCTAAACTACGCCTTGGAAATCCATGATTCGAGAGCTGTGAGCGTTTTTCCTAAAGTCTTAGCACTCCTCTACCGTTAGGTTTTTACATTCACACACTCGCGCCAACTCACTCTTTCAAACACAGACAAAGACAGGAAACAATTTCAAGCAACACAGAACAAACAAAAGGAGTTGAAGAATTTAAAAAGGAAAAAAAGCTGGTTGGAGAGAGAACAGCAATTAATTTTCACTGAATGTGTATCTGGCCTTAGACAGTTGATAGTAAAAATTTGAGCTCGAAATATTGAGTGTATGAATCAAAAAGTAGATGTCCAGACCCAGATGTTTTCTGCAATTCTAATGATACAGACTTGAGGTGAGGTCGAAACTGGTTTCGACGAGCCGAAAGAAAATATATAACTGGCCAACCGACCCGATCAGAACTTTTTAGACCGGTTATCGGTTCGGTCCGGTCGAGAAAAATCTTGACCGATTACATCTATGAAGCAGACAATTGTTTTGTTAAAAAAATGTGAAAATAACGGAGTATTCTGCTATCATGCGTTGCACATGTTTGAGTAGAGCTGATTTCATGATATGATCGTAGTCCTCCACCGTCGTTTATTTTTTAAATTGAATAATCAGTTTTTTGGAATTTGAAAAACTAATTTGAGATGAGATAAAAATTTGAAATACAAAGAAATTAGGTTTTTTGGAATAATTCCCAACTCAATGAGAAAACGTTTTCGAGATTCAACAATTCGGATGCCTACGTATGCTCTTTCAAATAAAAAGACAGACTCTATCTTTTAACAGTGTTATAGACCATTGCTGGGCTCATCGATCCTCTCTTAAACAATATAACTGTCTTACCTGTTCACTGAAATTGCAGCTAATAAATAGATATCGGTTATGCCAGCCCAGTATGCTACAAATCCTTCATAATAACATCCGTATTTACCAAAGAGCCATCTAAATAAAAATAATTGGTATACATAGATTGTTTTAGTAGGTGTCATACGTACAATTTTTATTAGTTTTGTATATATTTTTAAAAGACATATCAAGAATTGTCTAATTCTCTTCCCAGGTGAAAGACGTCTTACAAGGTCTTATAAGATCTGATAATTTTTTAAAGATCGTGTACAATCTTGCTACACGATCTTTCAGTAAGACCTTGTAAGATCTTATCCCAAGATCATGTATGATCTCGTAGAATCTTATAACTTCTTGTCGTGAGATCTTACAAGATCGGTTTATAAGAAATGTTAAGCTCTTATAAGATCTTACAAAAAGTGATGACTCATTCTTACCACATAAATTTTGCTACGATATATAGTATATATGTTGAAGGGGAAATTAGAATTTAGGGCAATTTAGAATTCCCTTAGGGGAAATTGGAATTATAATCTCTCTAGCGCAAATTAGAATAATACTTTTTCTCTAACATTTTTCAAGGAAAATGTCAGATTCCAATTTCCCCCAGGGAAGTTCTAAATTGCCCTGAATTCTAATTTGCCCTTCAACATAACGGATGGTGCAAAAGTTCTGCATTAATTTTGTTTTTGATATAGCATTGCAATGGTACATCAGAGAGATTTTATCCTATTTTGTTAGAAAGAGCAAAGTGACTAGTACAAAAATATATAAAAGTATTTTATCGGAAATGTTTCCTGAAGGTCACAAAAATCTTAGAAAAAATGGCATCAGGAAACTCTCCCGCAACTTCGATCACAATTTTTGTATTCAAATATATTTGTTTGACCTTTTTCATTACCCATTTTCCATGTTTTCGAGCACCATATATATGAAGTCAGTACAATGAAGGCTTCCGTATGATATTAAAAAAATTGGCCTTGAGTACAAGAGATTGAACAGAAGATACTTTGATTAAAAACTCAATTTGGCGTTTACAGCGCGAAAACAACTTTTTGTCCCAATAGCTCACAGAGCGGCTGTGTTCTATTCCAAATAATTTCGTTTGGTAGAGGATTTAATAAGCTTTCTTTTTCATGCAAAGTATGTAGTTTCCAGCAACTTCTCTCTGGGACTAGAATCTCTTTTTTCGACTGCGATCGACAGTGATGAAAAATCGTTGATAAAATAGAATGTTATAAAAGCGTTCATTTCGACCGTTATAAAAGACGAAGAAAGTTTCTTTTTTGTGCCGCAATCCTAACATTATAAAACTCGGAGTAAGACGAATAAAAAGATAAACTTTCTTATTGAGCGAAGTTTTTTCTAAATTCGAAAAGGCTGCGGAACAGTTTCCCGATGCCTTTTGTTCTAAGATTTTTGTGGCCTTAGGGCAGAGCCCTGCAGGTTGATCCTAACCTAACCTAACCTATAGGTTAGGTTAGGATTAGGTTGCAAGAGTTACAGGTTAGGTTCGGTTGTAGGTTGTTATTTCTTTTTCGAATAGTTGCTACTTTTGCTCAAATGAAAACTTTTTTCTGATTTTAACGACATTTTTGTTCTTATTTTTTGTCTGATTGCCTTATTTAAGACAATAGATTGCAAAATGGTTGGACAATATTTTGTGCCAACTATGTTCGTTTCTGTTATTCTCTCTCTTCCTGCTTCCTTTTACTTTTTCTCTAAACTTCTACACAAACTTCGTCTAACTAACCTCAAAAATGTCGTCAACGAATAAGCAGGAAATCGAAAAGAAAAAAATTATAGGTTAGGATTGGGTTATCGAATCCATAGGTTAGGTTAGGATTAGGTTGCCAAAAACTGGTAACCTGCAGGGCTCTGCCTTAGGGAAACATTTCCGATAAAATACTTTTATATATTTTTGTACTAGTCACTTTGCTCTTTCTAACAAAAAAAGGATAAAATCTCTCTGATGTACCATTGCAACGCTGTATCAAAAACAAAATTAATGCAGAACTTTTGCACCACCCGTTAGTTCTTATGACAAAACTTAGAATTTTTTTCTTCCGTCAACTTCACACATCAGCTGAGCACAAATAAAGTGTATGGCTATAAGAAACGTTCATAAGGACGCCAGAGTCCTTCATATGCTCGAAAATATTATGAAAATAAAAAGATTTTTTTTAAAGAGAGTCTAGAGGGGATCTATAGGACAGAATCAGAAACACAATCTTCTAAGATCTGTTGAATTCTTATCTAATCTTAAGAAATCTTTCAAGATCTTATCACAAGATCTTGCTACAAGAAAAATCTTGTAAAATCTTATAAGATTCTTGAACCAAGATTCTTGTGAAATCTTATGGTACCTTGTAACATGATCTTACAAGATCTTGTATGATCCTACAAGATCATATTGCAAGTTTCTGCGCTGGGATATCGTCGAATTTCGCCACCTGGGATTTTGCCAGTTGAAATTCCAAAGATTTTTCGTAGTATTGTCGAATATACAGAGCAAAGCCGCCAACAGTTTCGACAATTTGTCGTATTCACAACGAACTTCGACAATTGCCGAAAATCCAACGGAATTTCCACAGTAATTTTCGATTGCACCTGAAGTGAAATTTTTAAGAGCATACACCGTGCATAATAATAAAATAATACACCGTGTTTTTATAATCTATAATCTGTGTATTCTAAATAATACCAGGAACCATTCCAGTATTATGCGATCAGACTACTATCTGTTTCAATGAATAACGAACTCCAAACTTTATAAAAATAAAACTCCTATTTTGTCATTTTCCTTTTTGAATTATTAGAAGAAGACTGCAGTTCACTGATTCTGTACAGCATATTCAAGTTGCTCGGCAAAATGTTTGATATCGCAGAAATTCCACTTCTATCATCATATGAACTTCTTCTTTTCCAGTTTCTTAAAATTTAAAAATACACCACCGCAAAATGGATTTCGACAATTGTCGAAATTACAAGGACTTAAAACAATAGTTGAAAAACAACCTGAAATTCGACAATGTCGAAAATCAGATGAACTTTCGACAATTTGTCGAAAATACTGAGCAAAAACGACAATGCCGAAATTCCGATGGCGAAATTCCAGCTGTCGATATTTCGTTTTACCTTCGCCAGGTTGAAGTGATATAACTTACCTACATGAAAAATTTGAGCTTAATGATAATGGTATTCCTAATAGGGCGGCGCTAAAATCAGTTGCACTCAAACAAATAAGATGCGTATTTGTTGGATTACGTAAATGTTTTTCTTTAAAAAATAAATATAATACGAAACCGTTGGTTAATAGACCGAGAATAAATACAACTATTAAATAGCTTGCAATCCATTTTAGTACAAAACAAGATGCTAAAGCTGGATGAGTCCATGATTCATCTGCAGATTTTAGAACATAGGAATAATTTAGCGTTCGATAATAATTATGGGACCTATAAATAAATAAATTTACTGAAAATCACTTTAAAACCATATCGACTTTTGTATGATTAATTAATAGCAAAAACATTCACATACTCACACTCCGTTCTTTTCGTTCAAAATATCGAGCATCTGGAACGATCGAAACACTATTCAAATATAACTAGGCATTATATGATATATGGTTAAGAGGTGCTTAGAACTTCTCTCTTTCTCTTGTGTTTTATTTTGAACACTACCGTTACTCTTGTATCGCGGAAACCTAGTGACATTTAAATTAGAAAAAAAGAAATGAAAATGCTTGAATGAATTTGTTTTAAATTAGTATTGTGAAAAGAAAATGCTAATGGAAATTGATGATTAGTGCACTCTAAATAAAGGTTTTTCACAAAACTTAAAAAAGGTTCCGAATTTTGTAACCATTGCTAAACCATTTTAAGGTTCGGTTCAGGAAAGATTCCGTATGGAGAGTTTCATGCCGTTCTCTTCAAGATTTCGTATTAACTTTACGTGTAACTTTTCTCGACCGTTAGTTTACAAGCTAGAAAATATCGATCTTCTCTTTTTTATTTGTAATTAATTCTCTTCTTAATTCTTGCTGATTAAGCCACGTTCACACGACACATTTTGACTTAGTTTAATCCTAATCTTTTCAATCTTGTTCCGTGTGAACGCACTCAGTTTGTTAACTTAGTTTAAGAACTCAGTTTGGCAATTTGCCAACTTGGTTAAGTTAACCAAGTTTACAAAACTCGGTTAAGGACCCCCTATTAAACATCGATCAATCAGTGATTAGCTACTTCTTCTACACATGCGTTATATGTTATGATCAAATAACTTATAAACATATTTTCACATTGGACAATCCCCAGGAGCGTCTGAATGGTGTCATTTCGAACTCGGTTAGGATTTGGATTAAACTAAGTTAAAAAGTGTCGTGTGAACTTCGCTTACGCTCTTTTAAGGATGGTTTAGAAACTTTACTGCAAGTATAAAGCCACGTTCACACGACACTTTTTAACTCAGTTTAATCCAAATCCTAACCGAGTTCGAAATGACACCGTTCACACACTCCTGGGGATTGACCAGTGTGAAAATATTGAAAACTACCTTCTCGTATAATTTGCGGGATACTGTATGAGCTACAAATACACTTCGAACTGCATATGTGTATAAGTTATTTGACCATAACGCATGTGTAGAAGATGTAGCTAATCACTGATTGATCGATGTTTAATAGAGGATCCTTAATCCTTTGGGTCCGGGCGACGAGAATTCTCGTCCTGATATTTTGCGAATAGCTTTCGTAAATATTACGTATTGATTATTCAGTGAAATGAATGACCTAGTTTTGTCCACTGATCTCAAATATGTTATTAGTTTTGCTTGAAAATATATGGGGAGTGAAAAGGGCCCAAAGTAAATGAAATAACGAAGGTTAGAGGGTAAATATGTAATCTTCCTGACAAAAGTTTCACCTGCGTTTTTCGGGACCATAGGTTTCCATGATTATTTTTTCATGATTATGATGTACATTCAATGCAAATACTATAGCACAAAGAGCGACCCTTAGTTCATCACTCTCGCTCTTCTACATATGTTTGAATCGTGGGTGCTCGTCCCCAATGAATTTTCAGAACCACACTATAGTTAACCTTCATACTTTGGCTGAATAATCTACAGACACTGTTGAGTCTTTGGTGCGAATTTGAAGTCAAAATGATGCTCCTAGACGGAATTGTGAATTTTTTTCGCAAAGAACCTCGAATTTCCAACAAAAAAAAAACAATCTCTCCAGTAAAATAGCTGTATTTCACTAACTCCTAACAGCCAGCTCACGAAATTCATATCATCGATAGAGTAGAGTCGTGGCTGCATTTTTGTACAAAGAAAAGTTTTCATCTCTCTCAGGTCAGGAGCTATTGATATTTTACGGAAAATACATAAATTGCTTATTTCTCATGAACCATCCAGTAACAGAGTTCCAAAGTTGGTGAGTGATCAGCATTCAGTGAGAGCTATGATCTCACAGAATTAGAAGTTCCTAGCTACTATAGGTCTTGAGTTACAGGGGTATCGCTACTTTTGAGGGATTATTTTTTGACAAAATAATCCCGGACTCAAAGGTTAACCGAGAGTTATGATTGCTATGAGACTACAAATGTTTGTATAGTAAAACTTACGTATGCAACTTACTTAGGGCATACCAAAAGTTCGTAGAGTGATACCTTAATACCTTATGATAAGCTTTAAGTAACTTTCTTTCTATATAGTTTGATAGAGAAAAGAATGCTCTATTTTTCTATGCTATTTGATCATACTTCAACTAATATCATAATAATAAATATTCAA